AACTTCAATATGACATAATATTTATCAACATGATCAGTGCATGGCTATATGTTTTCAGAGCCACAGGAAAAACAAAAAGAGAAAATCTGATTACACTTAATTGATATGTAAATATCATAACATACAATAAGCTAACAATTTTAATACAGTCATGTTTTGTTATTTCTTTATCTTTTTGAAGATTCAATTTGTCAATTTGCTCATCAACTAATTTAAAACTTGATGTGATCATTGAAAGCGCTATACATGTGCAAAATAAATCAGAGACTCAATGAAACCCTTAGCATGAGTCAAGAACAGGTCCAGAAAACTGTCACCTCAAAAAGATAATATCAGAACCAGTCAGTTCACACTGGTAGGTACAACAGAGAACACCTGAGATTTCACCTAGCCTAGGTTTCAGTCCCTCGCATTTGTAACACACCTTCTCTCCATCTTGAACAGCTAAAAACTGCCACGTATATAAATAACTTAAGATACATTACATGATGTCTATTACAAAATAATGAAATTCAATCAATCTAAAAGGAGCAGAGTTTCAACTTTAAAAAACCTAACTTTTTTCCGTATAGACCAAGTTTTAATGGGGAAATTATTCCTGTTTCCAAACAAACAGACGCTAGAAGCATCCAGCGCCAATATTCATATGAATACTGTGCTGTAGATCATCAAATTTTCGCAACATCTTCTTTTCGTGAGAGAGTCACTTGTTATTTAAAAGCAAAACAAAATTTTCATGAATTTTGACTTTGTTTTAATATATAATCTTTTATAATAATAAATATGTGGGAATTAAATATTTCGCAAGCCAGGAGCCATGCATAATTATGAGAAAATAAAATTCTCACAAATAAAAAATGATTTATAGTATACAGGGTTATTTTGGCCCTCTCACACCTTCTAATAATTTTGCCTGATTTTAAATTCACCCAGTTGAGACACAGTTGCGTTAAAGATACTGTTTGATTTGAATTCACCCCATTTTAAATTCGCCTGAGGGGCGAAAATAAAACAGGGGGGAAAATTCACTGTATACAGTATGGTGTTTTTGATAAAAATTTTTCTCAGAGGTCTGTGGGATTATATTATATAAATCAGACATTGTGTGTCCCATGTCAGTGACTCACATCTCTTTATTACTTAATTCAGTGTATCACACTGTACTTACAAAAGTACCTACAAAAGTCAATAACCTCAGAACTTAATAGAAAAGATTTTCTTTTTTCTAATTCACGTTGTAATTTGTACTCGAAATTCTTCAACCAGTGCTTATTTTCAAAGTAAACACAGAGATTGCTTCATAACGTCCACAATTTATGTGCTACGTTAATAAAATTGTGTCTACAAGCTATTATAACTACTTAATGAACAAACAAACCGACACACTTTGTCATAACCACAAACCACCTCGGTAACATTGACACAAATCAAGAGCCGGCCTGACAGTGAGTGTGTACAGAATAATTGTGACAGCCACGTGAATAACTAACTCAGTGTTACTAATCATGCCTCTATCTTAATGAAATTCCACATGACAATGAAACACCTGTATCAAAAAATAAAATTTTATGCTTTTATAATCCCCCTATTTTTCAAGCTATGTGTCTCTCTCTTTCCTGTAATTTTTTAATTTTTTTGGAAAAGTAAGATGCTGCTTTAATGAACTTTTGGAAGTCATTCAATTTGTTCCAAAGCACAGATCACCTGCCCTAATACAAGAGCATCAATTACAAACCCATGTCTTCATAGCATCAGCCCTGTAACATCACTCAACCATATCTGAATTAAAAGCAGAGACAAGAGGCATGTGTATAAACTCCTCTCAAACTAATTCAGTTTTACAGAAAGAGCACCAAGGTCAAGTTAAAGATATCAACTCTTAAAAGACCTCAATTGGCTTCCTTCTCACAATTAAAAAAAATCCCTCTGTAATAAGATAAAGCATTAACTTCTCCCACTACTGCAAGCTATTCTCTCGATCTCTCTCTTCCCATTTCTCTCTCTCTCTTTCTCTCTCTCCATTTCTCTTTCTCTCACTCTCTCTTTTACAGCTGGTAAAATTTCTCTGCCATAAAACCAGGAGGATAATTAACATCAAAGTTCTTCTTTTCACCCCTCCCTGCCACAATATATATATGTTTATATCAGAGCCCTCCTCTTCTGTAAACTTTTCCCCCTCTATAACACTTAGTTTAGTTCTTCACTCCCATCTGGCTGTCCATATTGAAGACACCCCATGGCATTCTTCATAATTACTTAAAGGTATCACTTCCTCTCAGATTTAAGAACATTCCATAAGACTGAACAAGATTCTGAGTAAAACCTCCTGTGCAGTTAATTAAACAGTGAAAGTTTTTTTTATAAATCATCCTCCTGCTTTACATATTTTAATAAAGAAAAAAATTAAGTTAGGGGGTTATAAAAAAGCGACTTCTAAGCGACTTCAACATAAAGCAGTGACTTCATCACAAAGCACTGTGACTTCAACATAAAGCTCAGTGTCTTCATCGCAAAGCACTGTGACTTCATCATTAAGCATAGTGACTTCATCATCAGGCACAGTGACTTCATCATTCAGCACTGTGACTTCATCATCAGACACAGTGACTTCATCATCATAAAGCACAGTGACTTCATCATAAAGCACTGTGACTTCATCATTAAGCACTGTGACTTCATCATAAAGCACTGTGACTTCATCATAAAGCACTGTGACTTATCAATAAATAAGTACTGTGACTTCATCATAATGTAAAAGATGGCAGTGAAAACACCCCTGTTCTCCGATTTTAAGTGAGTGACCAATATAACTGATGAAAATTTTATGGATTAATCTGGTAATTTACAAGAAAAGTCAATTTAGAAAATTTCATGAATGAAATTGTTAAACATGTTAAAACACGGTCCTCAAAAGTATGTACAAAATAATGCTCTCATTTTAAAATCATCAAAAACATTAAATGTTTCCTCAATTCTTCTACCTTTGAACCATTGTGTTTTAACTAACAACCTTAGGCCAGAGTTCAAACATATTATTTGAAAAAAGCTAATTTCCTTAAACACTGACTTCAATTTAATATTTTTTATCAACTAAAAACCGCAAGGCATCCAAGAACAAACAGTGTGTTTACACCAACTTCCTTTATCAAACCTGACTTCTTGGTTGTCCTAATATGTTCAAATCAAAACACCCAGACACAAAAGTATCTGAATGAACGGCCCAGCTTTCCTGATGTTTGACCTCAATTTACAGTGACTTAATTTCTATTTTATCATTAAATATGTCAACATAATGTCTAAATTCACCAGCATATCTATGCTGAGCTGAGTTGTCTTGTCACGCTAACACTGCCATCTAGTGTTGTACTGATAATCAGAAAACATCGATTGTTGACAAAAAAATGCTGACGATTCCGATGATCGATTATAATTTTTCATAATCGATCATCGGAAACATACTTCTAATACAATACATTCCGGAATTATCCATTTCTGGTTTAAAATTTTTTTCTTCTTAATGAAAGAAAATGGCATCTGATACTAGCCAACTAGCACGAAGCAGAGGTGATTAAGAACTGAAAGGTGCATATATAGGGCCTAAAAAAATTATGTTTGTTTCCTGACCGACCCATTCAATTTACCCCCGGGTGGACTTTTTTTTTTTTGCCCAAATCTGTGTTTGCTCTTTGGTTTGATAAATAAGGCGATTCTTTTTATTCAAAAAATATTAATTGTATCTTTTTATTTGAGATATAAAATATGCAACTTAGTCAACTTTTACCTATATAAAGAGTAATCAATCCCCAATCCCCCCCCCCCCCCCCCCCCCCCCCGCACAACTTTTTGAAGTTCGTTTTCTGTCGCTAGCCAGCCATGTTGGGTGTCCACTGTAAATATAACACCTTGATAATTCAGTCCCGGGATGTTTGAGCCCATTATTCATGGGCAAAAAAAAAAAAATTTCCGACCTACTGACCCTTGATTTTTTGAGAATGGTTACAGGAAACAAACATATTTTTTTAGGCCTAGAAAGTGTAAAAGAAGCAAAACAACAAAAAAAATAATATATGATATATTTTATATATTCATGTTAAAGAAATAATATGAAATAATTGTAATAGTCTGCTTTTTGTATACAAAACTATGAAATCCGATTATAATCGGTAGAATCGCATCGGAAGCAGTAACCGATTCCAACCGATGATCGATTATGAAAATTAACCGATGTCCCATCACTACTGCCATCATTGTCATGTCTGCCATGGAATTTAGAGATGCAATCAGGAGTCTGCTTTTATCTCTTTTATGTCAACAAAGCAGACTGCTAGTAATATTCCATCTTTCATTGCGCACAGTCATAATGTGTCCCATTATTATGATTCCACTGACAAAGCGACACGCTCAACAACTGCACAAGATACCAATGTTTCAAATTTAAATCTCTTTTTTTTTTACACATTAATTGTTAATGTGCACCTTACCATTTAAAAAATTTTAATTAATCTCTTCATACACTATGTTTTTTAAGAGTTTATAACAAGACTGTTGTTGACCCCTACTAAAAGAGTTTAATTGATAACACCAGATTGCCAGACAGTTGAAACTTTGGTAAGAAGAACTTGACTATGGCTACACACACAATCTGTAACCTTGGTGCCTCCTGGTCAGGAGTTTAAAATAGTCTAGTTAAAAACTTTTCACTTAAATTGAATGTCTGTAATTTTTCATTAGAAGTGTTAATTTGCATATAAAGTGCCACACTGAAGTATTGCCCTAATGCCGTAACATTTCAAATACTTAAATTGAAAAAATGTTTTACTGTAGAATGTCCTTACAAAGTTTTCTCAGACTTTTTACACACTCTCCGTTTATGCACTGTGTTTAAGATCATAGTTAAAATATAAATTAACACATAAAAAAAAACAGAGAGCACTTTTATAAAGTGAGAGTACTTTCATCAATCAGCTGTTTATAGCCAGTAGTACATAAATGATACTCACATTGCAGTTTTCCAACAATGCACTTTCAACCCCCCTTTCGTCATGCTGAAAGTTAAAACAAGAGGCCCATGGGCCACATCGCTCACCTGAGTAACTTTGGCCATGCTGTTCTTTACCAGATCCCCCCCCCCCCCCTCCTTGTAATACCAATTGTGGCCCCGCCCTACCCCGGGGGGTCCTGTTTGAACAATTTAGAATCTACACTACCCAAGGATGCTTCCACATAAGTTTCAGCTTTTCTGGTCCAGTGGTTCTTGAGAAGAAGATTTTTCAAGATTTTTCCTATATATTTCAATGTAAAACTTGGATTCCCTATTGTGGCCCCGCCCTACCCCCGGGGGTCATGATTTTAACAATTTAGAATCTACACTACCCAAGGATGCTTCCACATAAGTTTCAGCTTTTCTGGTCCAGTGGTTCTTGAGAAGAAGATTTTTCAAGATTTTTCCTATATATTTCAATGTAAAACTTGGATTCCCTATTGTGGCCCCGCCCTACCCCCGGGGGTCATGATTTTAACAATTTAGAATCTACACTACCCAAGGATGCTTCCACATAAGTTTCAGCTTTTCTGGCCCAGTGGTTCTTGAGAAGAAGATTTTTCAAGATTTTTCTTATATATTTCAATGTAAAACTTGGATTCCCTATTGTGGCCCCGCCCTACCCCCGGGGGTCATGATTTTAACAATTTAGAATCTACACTACCCAAGGATGCTTCCACATAAGTTTCAGCTTTTCTGGCCCAGTGGTTCTTGAGAAGAAGATTTTTCAAGATTTTTCCTATATATTTCAATGTAAAACTTGGATTCCCTATTGTGGCCCCGCCCTACCCCCGGGGGTCATGATTTTAACAATTTAGAATCTACACTACCCAAGGATGCTTCCACATAAGTTTCAGCTTTTCTGGCCCAGTGGTTCTTGAGAAGAAGATTTTTCAAGATTTTTCCTATATATTTCAATGTAAAACTTGGATTCCCTATTGTGGCCCCGCCCTACCCCCGGGGGTCATGATTTTAACAATTTAGAATCTACACTACCCAAGGATGCTTCCACATAAGTTTCAGCTTTTCTGGCCCAGTGGTTCTTGAGAAGAAGATTTTTTAATGACCCCACCCTATTTTTGTCTTTTCTTGATTATCTCCCCTTGTAAGGGGACTTGGCCCTTTATCTTAACAATTTAAATTCCCCTTCACCCAGGGATACTTTGTACCAAATTTGGTTAAAATTGGCCCAGTGGTTCTTGAGAAGAAGTTGAAAATGTGAAAAGTTTACAGACGGACGGACAGACGGACGGACAGACGGACAGACGGACGGACGACGGACAACGGGTGATCAGAAAAGCTCACTTGAGCTTTCAGCTCAGGTGAGCTAACAAATAATATATAAAAGTAACATGATATGCCACTTAATGCATGCAATTTAACTTTATGTATTACTCATGAATTTTTACACGATACAACAGTCTTGCACTGAAAGTTTGCTTAGAATTTTTTTTAAAGCTTAATGTACAAATGCACTGAAGAAAATAATATGGATGTATTCGAGTGTTTGGACAACTAACTCCATATAATTTATATGATGATGGTAATTAGCTGATAGTAATTAAATCTAAGGAAAAAATTAAAGTGTACAAGCATGGCATTTAAACTATTTCATTAATACATTAATTAACCATTTGAAAAATTAGCCTTTTAAAATAAAGGAATCTCTGTTAGGGAACATTTACAGCTTTAGAAAGTGAAATTAAAACAGCTGTACACTAATGCCCTGTTCACAGGGAGAGTTTAATTCCAATTAAACATAAGTTACTGTGAGTTAAATTTGAATTGCGTTCACATGGAGAATTTAACGCAAATTAGTTTAATTCGAATTAATTTACTGCACATTAAATTACTTCACATTAGCTACGTGTGAATGAATTAAATTTTGACGCATGTGTAATGGCTAAAGTAAGTTACATGCCACATGCCGGTGGTCAGATATAGGTACTTGTGCTATTTTTGAGTGACAAACAAAGAAAAACTAGTATGTTATTTATCACTAAAATGATGTGTACAGACACTGAGACATTATGTCAAATGTACCTGCTCTGCACAATGTGACGTGATTTGCAAATGACGTCATTATAGCCTTACTGAATAGCCTTACTGTAGAAATATATTTTTAATTCGCATTAGTTTACTTCACATTAGCTGTTGTGTGAATGCAATTTAATTTGCATTAGTTTATGTCACATTTTTTTTAACTTCGCATTAATTTACTGCGAATTAAACTTTCCATGTGAAAAGGGCATTTATTTGATAAACAACAAACTTTTACACTGCTAAGGAAATGAAAATCATTATTTCACATAATGACATACAACTTCACATAATGACACTACGAAAGCAGGCTTATCAAGTCAGAGTACCCAGAAATTGTGATCGAGCATTTGAAGTGCTTCATTAAATGGATGTTTCTTCTGTCAGAGTGTAACTAGAAAAGTTCTCTAGATACATGTATGACAGAATTTAATGTTTTCCTGTTAGAAGTTTTCCCTGTCTATAAGTGGGTACTTTAGACCTGTAATCAACATGCTGGTAGGAAGTTATGCCAAACATTATGTCTCAACATGGTAACAAATACTAGTGCTGATTATATAAAGTTAAAAGTTTGCTCCAGGGGTGTAAAATAAGCACAAATTTTTTTCTGTCCTCTTTATGGTCCTTGGTATGAAGTAATTCTGACTGTCTAGGCTTGTGGCAGGTCAGTTATTGTGGGATAATTTCAGGACCAGTGTCCATTATACAGTACACAGAGGGCACTGTCATTGTTGAAATATATCTGTCACACTCCGGTTATTTCCTTAGAAAACTGATTTAGCAAGTTTTTTTTCCCCCACTGATCATGTTTGTCTTTAAAGCTTTATCAAATTTATACAGAGAGAAAGAGAGAGAGAGAGATACATAAAAATAAGTATTTTAATTTTCTTTTTTATAACATGCATTTAATAAACATAATTTAAACACTTATAATAACTTTTAAAAAAATGATTAACCTTCCTGATAACATTAACAATTGTTTAATCATTAATTAAAAAAATAAATTAATATAAATAAAAGTAATGGAACATATATTACATATGTTTTTCTATAAAAACAAACCTTCATATATTTGGAGGGAACATATCCAACACAGCTATCTCTGAGGGCCCTAGCCCCCCACCACTCACAATTATTTTTATGACAATCATAAATTTCAAATCTGTCTCCTTTTTCAAAACTCAAAATATTCTCAGAACCTTCGCCTTGTGGGGCTTCAAACGCAGACACCGCATAATAAATTTCCATGCCAGTAAATGCTTCTACACAGAGTAACTATCACATGGTTAATGAACAATTTCCTTGCGTCAGTTTGTGTTTGTATCAACGTGGATTACAGAGTTATGCCCCTTGAAAGCACAGCGTGCAGAGAAGAAACTTTGTCTCTAAGCCTATCAGCTCGGTAAACATTAGCTTTATGCAAAACTGTACACTTGCAAAACATTGCACTCCTACCAGTAAATGCTGTTTTAAATATTCATCAACTCCTCATCAGTTATCGATGATGTCTGCAGCTCACATGCTTACAATCAAACCTACTTGTACTTTCTCTATTGATCAATGAGGAGGCTGCGACTAATCAACGAAAACAAAGGCGTGTCTGGTTCAGTCATTAGTAATAACTGTTAGTTACCACTCAAATAATTAGCCTAAAATTATTCTTGTTTTCTTTTTAAACCTTTGTCGATCATTCTGACGATAAGAGAATGTACAAAAAAAAATAATTACAGGACAGAAGTAAATATTATGATTCTCCTCTCTAAAACACCGGTTGTCAATAAGCACATTATACAAACAATAGAAAAAAAAATGTTTTGAACATATTTTATTGAATAAATCAAAAGGATTGGAAACAAGTTCTTACAACTTACTAATATTACTACGTGGTGCCAAATATGTGAATTTTACAAGTGAAAAAAAAATGAAAATTCTTTTCAATTATAATTAAAATCTACAGGTTTGCCTTGAAATCAGGGCCGTCGCTTAATTTCTATAGGGTGGAGGTGGGTGGGAGCTAGGGAACCCCATACTCTGAGCCAGATTTTTTTTTAACAACAATAATAATAATTGTGGGTCTGGTGCATTCTTGAAGTTATTTGCAACATTACTTATCATCTGAATAAGAAAGTTTTGTTGTTTTTTTTTTTCAAACATGAAATTTTCTTGATGTGTTCTTTTTAAGAAGGGTTGCGATAGCACCCAATGCACCCCCCCCCCATTCCGACGCCTTGTGGAGGTTTGCCAGTATATATACATGTACTGTGCAAAAGAAATAAGAAAAACAAAGCTAATTTCTGCTTGTGCCCCCAAAAATAAGATCTGATGATTTTTTCTCTTTCCTCTTTTGCTTGTCAAAAATTTCTGTAAGCCCCCCATCCCCACCTCATCTCCTCCCCCGCCCCCTCCCCCCCCCCCCACACACACACACTATCTTGAAAACTGTAGAAGGAGTTAACCAGTCAAATGATGTATCCGAAAAATAAGCCTTGATTATTTTGTTAAATGCTGAAAGATTTATATGTGTATAAATGCAAAATTTAGGTCTGCAGAACGTTCTAGATATAGAATTTAACGTTTACAAAAATGATAATTGATTGCAAAAACAATTCAGACTTGATATCCTTCCTTTTAATTTAGCCTTGAAAAAATAAATGAATTAATTCACTAAATATATATCATAATATATACATGTTAAAAAAATTAAACAGGGTGTATACGTACGCGGATTGTTTCCGACCTCAATCAATGAGACGATCTCATTTACACTACACTATAGCTATAGATGGTCATGCACTGCATGCAGTTTCAGCCACCCCACCCCCCTCAACCCTAACGTCGTCCCTATTAGGGTCAGTGCAATCCCCTAAAAGGGGAGGATAGGAGTGAAAGAATATGAAGTTTTTGAATTTTAGATAAATACAATTAAGACGCATTTTTCATTACAAAAACATCAGTTCTTAAATTGAAATTTTGGTATTCTCTTTATAGAGAAGTGGATAAGCATAACCTACATCCACATGTATGCAGTCCCTAGAAGTGGATAAGCATAACCTACATCCACACGTATGCAGTCCCTGTCCATCTCTCTAAGACAGTAGAATTATGGAGGAAAGCCTCGTCCTGCTATTGAAGAAATCGCTGAAGAACGACATAGACATCTATCTTTTTTTTTTTTTTTTTTTTTTTTTGGTTAGTTCCCGTTACTATTTTTGTAGCTTTAAGGTTTTAGAATTCATTATTATAATGATTATGATAATAATATATCATGCATTATGTAGACTTTAGTTTCACACTAAACCAGAGTACATAATTTGAAAAAAAAAGAATCCACACAACTTAGGAATATTTTCTTATAATATGATTCAGAGTAGCTCTATACTCTTATTACTCTTATCAATGTAATTCCTATATGTTCCCATGTAGCCAGTAACATCGGTTTCAAATGTGGGGGAAAGGTGGAGGGGGGGGGGGGTGAAATCTCACAAAAAAATCTAACAAGCAAAAGAAAAAACTAACTTTCCAACAAGTGGGGGGGGGGGGATTCTCAAAATAATCTGACAAGCAAAAATAAATTAACTGATAGATGAAGCTTTGTTACCCCAAACCAAGAGAAATGGGATGATCAGAATCAACGAGGCGCAGTGGTTAGAGCGTTTGCTAGATAGAGTCGCGGTATAAGGAGTTGACCCTTACGTCGCGGGTTCGAATCCACTGCGGGACGTGGAGACCGGTCCTTCGGATGAGACCGTATAAACCAAGGTCCCGTGTCGCAGTATAGGTGCTGCTCAATTGCCCTGAGTGCCGAGTATAGGTCAAAATTTGCAGCCCTCCACAGGCAAGTGGTGGCGTCTCCATATGAGTGAAAAATTCTCGAGAGGGACGTAAAACAATAAACAAACTAAAAACATAAGTTCTACTTGACCCTATTTATCACTATAATCACCAAGAAGAATATTAACAAAACAAAAGTGCTTCTATACGTCTATATTTAACGCCATAATCTTATCCCTCATATTGGCCTCTTTTGTTCTTTGAAGAACATTTAATAAGAAGAGTTATTTTGTCTCATTTTTTTATCTATTATTTTCAAGTCTATCTGGTCATGAAAACTATGAAAGTATTTTTTTTATTTAATACAACAAAAGTTGCATAATTTTCTTATTCTACTAATCTGTAAATACATTATTTACAGTGATTAATTATCAAAGGTGAATAGCAAAAGGGGATAACTTCTCTCGAGCTCAGTAGAATACAAATTAATAGAGCCCTAAACAGCAACAGAACACTTGACCAAATGGCCCAGAATATAAAAAATCTGGTTAAAAAAACCCTTGCTTATTAAAACTTTTACTCTTCCTCCAAGATGCCCAGGAGCAGGGACGATTTTCAAAGAAATTACGCATTTTCACTATAGATTCAACACAGCCCCAAGCACCCTTGCTCATCATAATTATGCAAATTGTTTCTCTGCTCAATTCCCAGGAGCACACAAGATTATTTATTAGAATTAATGCATTTTCATTATATAATCAATAGAGCCCCACACTAACACCAGAACCCCTGACCCAGGGGCCATGAATATCACAATTTGGGAAGAGGCACCCTTGTTCATTACAATTATTTACTTGGTTTGTTTGTTTGATAGACAGGAGGAGAAAATTTTCAAAGAAATAATTCAGTTTCACTATATAATCATTAAAGCCCCCCTCCCGTAAAACCCCTGACCCTGGGACCACAAATTTCCTAATTTTGGAAGAGGAACTCATGATCATCATAACCATGCACTTATTGATCTGTTAAATGCCCAGGGACTGAGAAGAAGATTTTCAAAGAATTAATGCATTTTCACTATATAACCAATAGAGCTCCCTCCTGCCAAAAATGGTTATAATTGTACAACAATTCCAGAGAAGAAGCTGAAAATGTTAAAATGTTAACGCACGACGGACGACGACGGACGAAAACAGATAGCAATAGGTCATCTGAGCGACTCAGGTGACTTAAAAAACCAAACTGTCCAAATCTTGGAATTTGCAAGTGCTTGATCTTACAGCAGCAAAAGGTGTGTGTGTGTGTGGGGGGGGGGGGGGGGGGGGCATCTAAATGAAAATATACTATAGCACACTATACTATACTATACAGTATACTACTAGCCTGATTGAGGCCCAATCTTACCCACCGGAGCCATGATTAATTACAAAACTTGAATCTGTAAAACTTGAGGATGCTTCCATTATACAAGAGGCCTATGGGCCACAACACTCACCGAGTCATTTTAGGCCGGTACACGCGGTAAGGCTTGCCTTTTAAGTCATGGAACTTTAGTTAGCCTTTTCGTGTATATATACTCACTTAATACACGTATTTTCGAGCCTTACAAGTCTGACTTACGAATAGAGCACTGCTCTATTTAGCTGCATGATCTTTTCTTCTTATAGCCAATGAAAACCATTCGCCCAAGCCTCAATCTATTTATTATCAAACTATACACTTGTGTAGATTGAAGTAAATACAATGTGTTTTCGAATGAGATAATGAATGTATCCACAAATGCTTTCGTTCAGTCTCTTCCTCTTTTTACGAAACATGAATGCATCGGTCGGTAAAATTATCACAATGCCCCCGCGTTTGTCTTCTAGTTTAAGGTAGTCCGATCATCAGGTTCTGAAAATCAGCAATTACCGGTAAGTTATTGAAAATGCTCATAAAAATGTCTTTGAATTCACAAAGTAATGTGTTTTACCCATGGTATTTATCCAAAGTTCATCATCATACTTAATCATATTATCAGATCTCAAATATATTTTCAGGAAACGTGAATGAATGCACCAGTTATACATTTTCCAATTGCAAATTGATCTGATCAACAAATGCATTTGTAGGTATCCGGGCATTCAGGAAAAAATTGCATGCTTTTACACTTACATTGTATTTTAGTTCTTTTAATTATTTACTTCAATTGTTATATACATAAGGCAAAGTGTATAAAGCTTGTGCTATCATTGGATTAAGACATCACAAATCACTTCAAGCTAATAAGCATTGGTATTTAATGATAGATTAAAGAGAATTTAATTTCTCTAAAAACGTAATTTCCCTTTTTATTACGGTATTACAATGAACAAATTTTATCTTACAACACCATACTACGTGTCTGTCTCTTTTATCAAATTTCCCTAGGTAAACCTAAAAAAAAAGCCTGCCTATAGGCCACAAAGCTCACCTGAGTTACTTTAGCCCTGCTGTTCTGCGGAAGATTTTTGCATTTCCTTGAAAATTATGACCCCGTATTATGGCACCACCGTAACTCTCAGGGGTCTCTGAATCCACACAATAGGGATGCTTCAATATCCATATGACTAACATGGCCTTGCAGTTATAGAGCACGTTCTATACATGCATGCTTAATGTAAAATTTGATTCTGATTTTAGCCAACTCTAACCCCGGAGTCCATAATTTAAAAATAATTAAATTCACACAACATGGGAATGTTTGCAATGTTTGCAAATAAATGGTTCTAATGTATTTCCTTAGAAGATTTAAAAAAAATCTTACATCGTTCCATACAAAACATTGATTCCCCAATGTGGCCCCACCCACAGGAACCATGAGTTGAATAGTTTAGAATCTATACTACCCCAGGAAGTTTTTACATAAATTTGATCTTTTCTGTTCTTTGGAAGATGATTTATCTTATATGTATCAATGTAAAAATTTGATCCCTAATTGTGGCCCCACCTTACCCCCAGGGGTCATGATTTGAAAAAAAAAAATAATTAAAATCTACTTTATGTCTAGAACTTTCCCTACACGTTTCTTCTTTTCTAGTCCAATAGTTCTTGAGAAAAATATTTTTTATGATTTTTTTTTTATTTTTACAGTTACATGTAAAACTTTTATCCCTATCGTGACCCAACCTTACCCAAGATATGATTTTTACACTTCCTCAGGAGGCTTCTACATGAATTTTACTTTTTCTGGCCCGGTGGTTCTTGAGAAGATTTTTTTTAAATGACCCCACCCAAATTCTTCTCACTTGAGCCTTCAACTCTGGTAAGCTAAAAACGCTATGAGTAATATGTGTATATACGTATTTCATTTAATTTTGCTAAAAGAGACATATAGGTCTGATGGGCCAGGTGTTTGAATAGTTAATTTGTTAAAAATGTTTCTCATTGCATTAATTAATCATTTACACATGTACTTACTTACATATATCATAAATCCGGAAACCCCTATCGATTCTAGGGTCAAAAGTTCAAAGTCCAAGGTCAGAAATTCACATATTGCAGTTTCCAGATAACGAATTTTCTCTAAGTTGCTGCAATGATTCTCCATAACATAAGGAATTCATTGCGCTTGGGTCAAATTGAAAAGTGTTTTGAGAAAACCATTGGTCTCCCCCTTCTCTAATTAATAATTCTTCCCAAAGCGTTCCCTCATTTAGTGATCCACTTAACCTGTCTATTTTTATTTTTTTACCTATTTTTAAGTCACCTGTGTAAACTCAGGTGACCTATTGCTATCCGTTTTCGTCCGTCGTCGTGCGTTAACATTTAACATTTTGGGCTTCTCTTCTAAAACCGCTCGACTAATTTCAACCAAATTTTTCATATAGCATCTATGGGCGAAGGGGAACACAAATTGTGAATTTCATGGTTCCTGTCCCCCTGGGGCCTGAGGGGTGGGACAAAAACCACTAAAATTAACGCAATCTTTAAAAATCTTCTTCTTTACTTCTGGACATCAAGCAGTCAAACTGTTCGCATGATTGTAATAAGGATTGAGCCCTCTACCAAAATTGTGAAATTCATGGCCTCAGGGTCAGGGGTTCTGGTGCTAGAGTGGGGCTCTGTTGAATATATAGTGAAAATGCATCATTTCTTAAAAAATCTTCTCCTCTGCTCCTGGGTATTATGCAAACAAACTAAATGCATAGTTATGATGAGGAAGGTTGCCTTTTCCAAAATTGTGAATTTCATGGCCCCTGGGTCAGGGTTCTAGTGTTAGGGCGGGGCTCTAATGATTATATAGTGAAAATGCATTAATTCTTTGAAAATCTTCTCTTCCCCTGTATATAAAGAAGATAAATTAGGTGTATAGTTATGATGATCAAGCGTGCCTCTTCCAAAATTGTGAGATTTGTGGAACCAGGGTGAGGGGTTCTGTGGGAGGGGACTTTTTTGATTATATAGTGAAAGTGCATTGTTTCTTTGAAATTCTTCTCTGCTCCTGAGCATTAAGCCGATGTACTAAGTATATAGTTATGATGAAGAAAAGTGTCTCTTCCAAATTTGTGTATTTCATGGCCCCTGGGTTGGGGTTCTGGTGTTAGGGCATGGCTCTTTTGATCATGTAGTGAAAATACATAAATTCTTTAAAAAACTTCTTCTCTCCCCCTGTTTATAAAGAAGATAAACTAGGTGCATGGTTATGATGATCAAGGGTGCCTAAGAACAGCTGTTCCAAAATTGTGAAATTTGTGGCCCCAGGGTGAGGGGTTCTGCGGGGGGTCTATTGATTATATAGTGAAAGTGCATTATTTCTTTAAAAATCTTCCCTGCTCCTAGTTATGATGAGCAAGGGCGCCTCTTCAGAAATTGTGAATATCTTGGCCCCTCGGCCAAGGGTTCTTGTGTTAGGGTGGGGCTCTTTTGATCATATAATGAAAATGCATTAATTCTTTAAAACTCTTCTTCTCTCCCCTGCATAAAAAGCAGATAAACTAATTGCATTATTTTAATGATCAAGGGTGCCTCTTACAAGATTGTAAAATTTGTGGCCCCAGGGTGAGGGGTTCTCCGAGAAAGGGGGAGGGCTATTGATTATATAGTGAAAGTGCATTATTTCTTTGAAATCTACCACTCTGTCCCTGGGTATTTAGCAGATAAACCAAGTATATAGTTATGATGAGCAAGGGCAACTCTTTCAAAATTGTGATTATCTTGGCCTCTTGGTCAGGGGCTTTCGTATTATGGTGGGGCTGTATTGAATCTATAGTGAAAATAGATTTTCCTTGAAAATCTTCTTTGCTGCTCCATGGCATCTAGAGTATATGAAGTTTTAATAAGCGGGGGTGTTATTACCAGATTTTGAAATATTGTACCCTTTGGTCAATTTATAAATTTCTACTGAAAAAAGTCATTCCCCTTTGTTATTCACCTATAATAGTAAATCACTCTAAATAATGTAACTTAAAATTTCAATTGAATAACAGAATTATACAAGAAATTTTATCATATTTAATACTAAAGTACTTTCATAGTTTTTAATGGTCAGGAAAAGTTTTAAATAACAAATTAATGAAAATGGTACAAAAATACCATATCTTTGAACAATAAATAATCTTAAAAGACAAAGAAAGGCCAATGCGAGGTGGAATGAAATGTGTTAACTGATAGTGCTCTTGAACTATTTTATTGGTTAAATTCGAATGAGGATGACAAATGGGGGAAAGTACAGGCAAATAAATAAATCAACTTTAAGATTTGTTATTAAGTACTAAGTTAATATTTTGTTGATCCCTGATTATCCTTTTTCTCTTGCTTTTGGGCAACATAGCTTTATTTATCAGCTTATATTTTGTTTCAAGGAGGCTGGTGGGTCAACAAATTAACCATCAGATATGACTTATTTTTTTAGATATGATACCTTGAGCTGTCAACTATCATTTGGCAAACAAAAATTTCATACATTTTAGTTTTAAAATTTGATCATTTTTGTATATCTTTATATGGAGCTCTTCTTCTAAAGGAGATCAATATAGTCTGAAAACGGCCACAACCACCCAGCCCTCTTAATCTATGGATTGTTATAATATACTCAGGTGACCATTATGGCCCTTGGGCCCCTTCACTTGTCTGTATAATGCACGCATATTTTCCAAAGAAAAGCCAACTCTTACTATGTTAATTCAAAGTACATGTATTGTGAAAACCTTGAATTTCACTCCAAAACAATTCAAGAGTATTGGAAATACCTGTACAAACTATCAAATGAACAGAATCAGCAACAAAGTGCAAAACACATGGGCACACTTATTGCTGACAAACAGCCATTTTTGTGTATCTATTGTTCTTTGGCGGAAAGGGGTGAGTTACATGCTTTTAACTCACCAAGCTTTAGGGTGCTCAACTTGTGGTCAGTAACAAAAATTGGTTCAGGAACTTTGTTCAGCAATGGATACACAATCACATTATATAAGTAAATATTTGTACACAGACTCAGCGTAGCTTTGGACTTCAATTTCTTATTCCCAATATAATTTATTTGTTCCAATTACTGAGGGACCTTTGTGTAATTACATTATGCCTGGTAATGCTGTACATCCCCTTTAAATCAAACTTTAAGGAAGTACAAGCTAAACTAATTTTTAAAAATATTTTTCTTCAAAACATACAAGAAATTTCATCATTCGATATCTGGTCAAAACTCTTCGTAATATATGCTGATATTTTATCTAAGAACATTTAACATTACTACGATTTTAAATTTAAAAATATCTTGGAAAATTACGAGTTGGAAAGGTACATCGTAAATTTAAATTTATGTACATGTATGTTGGGCATGACCTTAAATGCAAGCAACCATTGAAAATAAAAAGATACTAAAGTATAACATGCTTATAATGCCAAAGACTGGCAATTTTGGTTCGTAAGAAGCGTTATTTGCTACACGCAATGCGTTAAAGTAGGTTTCAGACCCAACAGAAACCAAAATAAGCATGTTTGCCATAACCATGCATTACTGTATACAAATATATTGACATTCAGTCAACTGTCTTTTTTTCTTTCAAAGGAATGTTAAAGGAAAGCAATTCATTATTTCTTTGAGTAAACTGTGAAAGGTACACTGCCATTTTGACAGACATACAGTAAAACCTTGCTTTACACAACTTCCATTCTTCAGGCGATCACAGAGCTCTTATCTCAAGATTTTCAACCATTTGAGCTCAATTCTTAGTCACAGTCCAAGTAAAGTCTCCAAAAAATATTCAAATCAAAAGCCTTCAAATTAAGCACACATTTTTATTACATACAACTTGCAAACAATATTAATTGGAAGTTGTAAAAACTAAACTTTTCTAAACATAAAATGACAGAAAAAAAATGTTTGATTTTATTTAGTTCTTAAAAATTCTCACTAAAAAGATACAAACTTGCACAAATTTCCAACACATGATATGTTTCTACATGAAAAATGATGAGGATGATGAAATATTTGAAAAAAAATCAGCACTGATAAATTCTGACATTTATAAAGAAGTGTTACAGAGAATTATTGCTTGGAAATTTTTCTTTTTTAACACGAGACATAAAATATCGTATTTCTTGAAAAAATGCTGAAAATGGTGCAAATGATCAAATTAAATGCCTGTCAACATTATAGTCCCTGAGTGGAAAAAATCCAGAAGAAAAAAAAATATAATCCCTGTGTCACACAGGGTCAGGATGGAGTATCTGTGCAATGCATACCTTTCAATACGCAGTATAACTTATAAATTTGTAGAGTCACTTTTAATACAATGCTTTACATACATGGGACAAAACAGATGGGATTAAATATGATAAAATGAATTGTCTATAATGATAAAAATATGAATATTTACAACCAGATTGCACCAACCTTTCTATATTACTAAAACTGTTATTTCACCCAAAATAAATTTGTTCAAAGACTTTGTCATACCTCAAATGTATAATAATATCATGTATTCTATATAAAGCTTTAATGCATAATTTAGCACTGTCAAGGGACATAACTTCATTTAGTTCATCAAACAACCTTGTAATTTCATCCAACTATCATTCATTTTTTTTTTTTAAATACAAAACTATTTTTTTTTTCCACTTCTAACAGAACACATGGAGTCAGCAGTGGTTAGGTGAGATCTCTTTTCCACAGTAGTGCTAGGTCATTAAGTCAATAGTGATGCAGATCTTTGTGACGGTATGGACTGGCTTTAATTGGGTCGGAATTTCTCTCTAAGATCCTCCTCTTCATTCATCATCATCTTCATCTTCATCCTCGTCTTCCTCTTCATCATCTTCGTCGTCATCTCCGTTCTCTTCCTGTTTGGACTTCTTGGCTGGTGATGCTCCACCGCCGCCCTACAACAGGGAAAATAAAATTAACAGATTCACCTACACACTTAATGCTCAAAAACAGCTTTGAAATGTGCTTAAGAATTCTTGTATCAAAAGTTAGAAACATTCAAATGTAAGTACTCAGGCCTTTCAAAATACACTGGTACCCAGTACTTTTACCTGGCTGAAATCATGATTGCATGCCATGGGCCAAATTCAATGGAGAAAAATTCTCAACATTTGTAATTATATTGCTTCCACAAGGTGCTTCCCATTTTGTTAATAAAATTACCATGTTACCAATGAAGTAATACAAAGAATGATACCATTTTCTAAATGACCCTCTATAAAATATGAGAGAATATGCATGTACAGTTTTAAAATGAAGACAACTTATACGGTCTCCTCCACCTACCCTTCTCCAATCAGCCAGGGCTTGTTCATATTTCTCTTGTTCTTTCTGGGCCAATTTCTCAAATGGTTTCTTCTCATTATCATCAAGGTTCCTCCAGGCCTCACCAGCTAAAGAAAAAATTTAATATGAAAATTACCTCTGGCAACCTAATAATCCTTATTCAAACAATTTTTGTCTCATCTTTCATGGAAATGATTCAGTTGACATGATATTGTAAAGAACACTAACTGCGAATCTTTGAATATCATTTATTGTTCAATTGTTTTTAGTTTTTATCATGTTTACATGTATGTACTACAAAAACACAACATGGATATATTCCAAGGTTATCATTTACAATAATGGTTAAACATGAGAATAAAGTTTCTAACTGGGATGACCACTTGATAACATATAAAACATTAAACCAAGTCGGTTCTGCATGTTTAGAAAATCGGACCTCAGGTTGCTAGCCTAGCGCTGTTCTTAAACTTCTCTCTCTTTTTTTTTTTGGGGGGGGGGGGGGGGGGGGAGTAATTATTGACATTTTTATTTAAGTAAAACAAGAATTTCCTCTAGAAAAAATCAGATATCAGATATTTAACTTAATAAATACTAGTGTTGAAAAATCGCCGCTGAAGGCAGCATGTCGGTGAGAATCAATAGAAAAAATTTTAAAATTGATAGTCGCTTATTTTTTTCCCCCAAAATTTATTTTTATAAACAAAATGGTTTATCTTTGAACATTATCAAAGGACGTTCCTCTTTTTTCCTTGTGAATGGCGGACAAATTTTCCCACTGAGCATCAACTGAAGTTGGTCTCACAGATTTGCATTGAAATGTTGTTTTCATTCCTGGGGATATCTGAATATTTTATGGTTAACTTTATCTAATTTAGCCTTTAAATTAAAGTTCAAATTATCGACCATATATTCGACTGTATGCTACCGATTCAATTTGATAATTGACAGTAAATATGGTCCAATTTTTCAACAATAATAAATACCTGATAGAGAAATCTAACCATCACTTAATTACCCACATACAGAGGTCCTTCTATTTTGATTTTAAATCTTACCCATTTTGATGATTTCCTTGTGGTCAATGTTCTTTCCCTTCATTTTTTCCCTGAAGTCAGCCAGGAAACAGAAATACGCGGACTGTGGCCTCTTGGGTTTGCCTGCCTCGCTGGGGTCCTTGCCTTTGTAAGCTGCCATTTCTGCATCATATCGCTTCTTGTCAGCCGCTGCCTTTTTGTTGTATGGCTCTTTGTCTTTCTCCGACATTTTGGCCCACTTTGCTGAACATTCTTTTGTGAATTCTGCGATCTGAAACAGAATATGGTGATATAAGAAGTATCCAATTTTTTTACAAAAATAAATTCATTGGTTCTGCTGGTCCACTATGGCCAAAACACCAACTGGAATTGACAAAATATGATGGAAGATAATAGTGAAAACTTTTTTTTTTTTAAATAAAAAATGGAACAATTAAATGAGTCTAATAAAACAGAAATGATTTTGGTTTTGTGAGTTTTCATAAGTAGACATAGAAACATAGATTTTCATAAGTAGACATAGAAAACAATCCTCAATGCTTTAGCTTCACTTTGGCTTTTCTGTCAAATGCTTTGCGACACCAAGGTCAGGAGAAAGAAATTTTTACTTTGTGTACACAAATTCTACCTTTGTTATGGGTTTGCCAGAACTTTTTGCATCTTCTCTCATTTTCCCCAGGAAATAGAAGTACGCTGATGTGGACCTTTTTGGCTTGTTGGGGTCCTTGGCTTTCCTCTTCCTACCACCTTCTGCTTTTGGTCGACCTACACAAGACCAAGAAGGACTTAATTTTGATCATACACTTCTCATTTCTAAATCACTTAAGGATTAAAGTCAATTTGGCATAAGATTTTTTTCTTCAAAATCTTAATGTTAGAAACTCTTTTAAAATGTCCAAATACTATTTGTGTATCCCCCTACCCCAGAAGTATACTTTCATTTTCCTATACATTTTTTTGTCATCAAACAGTGCATACTTCTTTAATTAACCAAAATCTCTCATCATAACATTCTTTCAATTAAACATCTCTTCTTATTTAACTGCTATGTAAATAATATCCATTTCCTAAAAAAATATTTTCCCACTGCAGATCTAAAATTAATCTCAATTTTTATTGTACACACATAACAATTTTAAAATTAAGATTTTTGATTCTTAAATTGCATACTGATGCACGGCACTTTCTCCCATCTTACTCAAAATGTTAAAAAAAACTTGTCCTAAAAAATTCAAATTTACCCTTTGTTGTCCAATCTAGGTAAATAGGTCACATAAACAACATATTTTTAATCTAAATTTACTAATTTCAAACATGCAAAATTCATATTAAACTAAATTGAAATTAATTCTGCGCAAAACTAACTATTGCAATATAAGGTTTACAAGTGCATATACAATCATTATGAAACTACGAAAAAAAAACCTTCCCGCCCGCCTTATTTACCATTCTTACCCCAAACAAAGGAATTCTAGACATTTTTCTTCATTTCCGATCAATATCAAACCAAAAACATCCATTTCAAACTGTTTCATTTGACTTTGTTACTATTACTATATAGCCCTTTATACATTCTATCATACTACTACATAGCGTATAGAAGGAAACTTACCCATAGTGTAGTATTATGAACGCTGTACAATTCTTTGTGAAGGAAATATAGAGCAGTGCGGCCGGTAAGACGCTAACCAATGTAGCTCACGTGACCCTTTTCCGCCAATGGGAGTGATTGTTTTTCCCGCCGCAGTCATAAACAGCTCAAAGGGAAGTCACTCTAATTACATTCATTAAACTGTGAGGCCCATGGGGGTGTTAAGTGGTTGAGCGACTTGTGTTTAATCATATCAAAGTGTCAAAACACCGAGGGCAGCGATATTGACAGAGTTTAGCTTTTACTCCAAGATTACTGCTCAAATAACTAGTAAATATGCCATAATAAATATAAAGATAATATTTTTCACTGTTTGGAGATGTGCTATTTATTTATTTATTGATTTATGTCTATAAATGATATCAATCTTGAAAGTGCAATTTATTCACTCAATCCATATATATTAGAACACGAGGACTGCATTAAATTTTCTTTTTTTCAAATATGATACTGAGATTAGACCGTGTGTAAATGATGTATGTCAGTTATGTATAGGCTATACAAAGGTCTGCAATGTGATTGAAAGCGTAATGAAATTTTGTCATATCTATCTGTAACTCAAAATATGAATTATGTTAATTATACAAAATACTATCTAACTATCATGGGTAATGAAGAAAAATACAAAATGCTCAGAAAGATTAATTGCTCGACCCCCCCCCCCCCAAGAAAAAAAAACAGAGACACACAAAGCGATTTTAAACAGAACTTTTTTTGAAAAACGATACACTATTTGTCATCGATTTTTTCTTTAAATTGCTATCATATAGTTACGGGAATGCAAGTTTACCCTTAAACCTCTTTATAAAACTATTGCAATTGCTCGTTTTCTAATAAATTAATAACTACTGACTGAAATAAACTTATAAGTAAAGCACCGGATATAGAATTTCACATCAATTAACATTTCTGAATATTGTGAAGGAATGACTTCCTGAAAAATCGGTTGTAATTCATCCAAAAGACAAACCCTGGTTTGATTCGACTCTGCGTAAAACACTTAGAACTAAAAAATAGATTAAGAAATAGGGCTCAAAAGACAAAAAGAAACCCTGACTGGTAAAAATATTTTAAAAAATAAAATGCAGGAATAAGTTTAAAAATATGGGAAAAAAATGCGATCGAAAATTTTTATAATAACATAGAACACCACATAACAGATGCAAGTAAAAATAATTCCAAACTATACTTGAAATTATTGAGAGACGTATTTAAAGTTAAATCAAGTATAGATAATATCTATTTGTATCAATCGTCATTTAAAAATCTATTTAAGGTCTATTTAAATAAAAAAAAACTATTTTTTTTAAATTATTATTTTTAGGGTAGTTTTCAGCTTAAAGATCTACATGTTGATGCCCATACAACATATGAGAGTAATAGCAGTGTTCAGGAGTTTCAGCAGTCGTTGTCCGATGTGATTCTTGATAGGATCCCAGATAGGGTTAGGCTAGCTCTGTATTCAGTGTTATGTTAGATGAGTCTACAGATGTGTCAGTTCACCAGAATCTTATAGTCTATGTTAGGTTTTTAGAACGTATGGGTAGTAGGATAGTTCCATCTCTAGACTTTTTAGACATTAGGCAGTTGTCAGTTGCAAATGCAGAGGCAATTTCTTCAGAGATGATAGGTATGCTTAGGGATAAGGGATTAGACTTGGATAGGTTAGCTGGTGTTTCAACAGCGCTTCTGTGATGGTAGGGTGTAAGAGTGGAGTTGTTACTAGGCTTACAGAATTGTACCCAGGTATCTTAGCAACACACTGTATAGCAGATAGGTTAGCACTTGCATGTGGGGAGGCAGCTGATAAGGTCACTTACTTAGTTAAGTTTCAGGCAGTTCTGAATGATTTGTACAAGTATTTTGAAAAATCTCCTAAGAACATGGCTAGGTTAGAGAAGGTTAAAGAGATCTTAGATGGTAGCAGGAGCACTACATGTAGGCTCAAGCAAGTTTCCCACACTAGGTGGTTAAGTTTTGAGGGTAGTGTTCAGGCAGTAGTAGACAATTATCATAGTGTAGTTGCAGTCATGTTAGAGGAAAATTCTGCTAAGTCACTAGCTCTCCACAAGCCCCTTTCTTGTTACAAGTTTCTGTATGTTGCACACTTCTTAGCTGACACTTTGAAACCATTAGCTATGTTGTCAAGGTCATATCAAAGGTCAGATCTAGATTTCACTGAGGTCAGTTGCCTTTTGCATTCAACAGTCAAGGTCTTGGACAAATTGATTAGCAACCCTGGTAGTAATTTGTCTGCCTTTCTGCAGCATTCTCCTTCTGAGCCAACTCTTGATGAATCCGGTCTGCACACATTTGAGTTTCAAGGTCACACAGTAAGGGATAGTCTAGGACAAAGGTCAGAAGCAGTTAGGGCATGTAGCACTTTTATAGAGGCTGTTAAGGCTAGTTTGCAATCTAGATTTACTGATAGGGGAGATGCTCTGATTTTGTCAGCTTTGAGTAGGTTCTTTGATCCTCAGACAGTTGCTGATAGGAATCCTCCCTCTGAGGACATTGATATTATATATAGCTAATCATCTTTCTGTTTGTAAAGTAGCCGAGGTTAGAGAGTGTAGGAATGAGTTAGGGAATTTTGTAGAGTTCTGCAGGGCTAAGGTAGAGTCAAATCCTAGGGTAGTGTCTATAGTTGTTTAGATGTTTGTCAGGTAGCTTTTAGGGCTAGGGAGGTGTTTCCCATTGTGGCAGCTGCTGCTGAGCGCCTGATCACTGCTCCTGTCAGCACAGCAGATTGTGAACAAAGATTCAGCAGGCAGAACCTCATAAAGACTGATGCGAGAAACTCCCTGAAAACCTCCACCCTAGAAAACCTAATGAGACTTTCCATCTCTAGTAAGTCGGAGGAAATGGACTTTGAGGTGGCCTTCAAGAAATGGAGTCAAACCAAATCAAGAAGGATCTTAAATTTACTGTGAAATATAAGTGACTGTGATATTATAGTGATGTTTAGTGAAATAAGTAGTGCTCCCAACAACTTTAAAATTGATTGAAAGTTTTTTGAGACTTGTGACTATAAGCTAATGCTTGAAACATTCATTATTTTTACCTTTATATGTATTATGTATGTGCTGACAGTTTAATATGATATTATAAATGCATACTACTGTACCTGTAATGATATTGTTCAAATCCATAATAAAATATTTTGAAATTTACAACTTGTTATTCTTTCAGAAGATATGCTGGTTGGATATTAAATAAGTGAAGCATTGAGATGATTACAAGTTTAAGAATAGAATATTGTAGTAGATATGATATGGCATATATTCAAAAACGAATACATTAGTATATAAATGGTATGATCACTATGATGGAAAAAATTTTAAAAAAGGTCGTGATATGCTCCACGAAAAAGTGACGAAAGAGAATTTTGGTCCAGTGGAAGCCCTGATAGATATAGTGGAAACAGGCCCGTAGTAAGCAATTTCTGTTGGGGGGGGGGGGGGGCATAGCCATACATTTTCAGTTGGGGGCACTATCAACTACCAAAAATTCCTTAACAAGCCAAATAAAAAAAATCAGACGTTTTTATTGAGGGGGCAAAAGCATGTAGCTATATTTTTTATAGTAATCTATATATCGGCAAAATTAGAGGGACACCCCCCCCCCCTTTGCCCCCGGTTCCTACGACCACGAGATATCCCCCTACAATATACTTCTGCTTATAGTGATACATGTATATTTGTTACTTTTTCAAATGAAGAAAAAATAAATGTTTTAAATGCTTACCGATACTTTGCCTCTATTCCATGCATTGACGATAGCGGCGCTGCATGTGTTACCTGATGTCTGTGTGCAATAACACATTTTTTGTGATATTTTTTCCCCCATTCTCCCTGTAAAGAAGCAATAGGCCCGGACAATATTAGTTACAAGATGCTAAAATCTACAGTGTATACTATTGTAAAACCATTATGTCTGTTGTTTAACAGATCATTATACGATTGTACTTTTCCTCCCTTTATTTAAGAAAGCTGATCCTTCCATTATGTCTAATTATAGACCTGGGTCACTGTTAACTTTTATATATTGGTAAAGTAATGGAACAAATCATATTCAAACACTTGTACAATCACTTTCATGAAAATAATTTGTTTTTTTTTTTTATAAATACCAAGCTTGATTTTTACCAGGTCATTCTATTGTATATCAACGAATAGAAACATATATCGAAAACAATTAAACTGTATTCTGATCTCACCAAGCTAGAAACGTGGTCGAAAAATGGCTTCTCAAATTCAATCCTTCAAAAAATAAACAATATTTTTTAACTTGAGAAGTTTTTAACTTGTTATCCTAAACTTTTTTCTTCCACCAAAGTCAATTAGAATTTGTTTCTTCGCATAAACATTTAGGATTTTTTTTTTCTCAATCATGTTATAAGTTGCTCTACACATATTGATAATATTTTAGCAAATGCGTAAAGAAAAAAATTGGTTTATTAAAAACCTTAAATTTGTAGTAAACCGGGAAAATCGTGTACACAACCTTTATTAGACCACAATTAGAATAATGCTTCCTTGGTTTGGGGTGGATGTAATGTGGGGGAAAGTTAAAAATTAAGAATTAGAAAAAAAAAATACAATTATATGCTGCTAGAATTTTCACGAGCCTAACTTTATAGGCTTCTTAAGATTCACTTTACTTTGAAACTGGATGGGAACCATTACATGAAAGAAGAAAATATGCTAGACTAACTACAATGTACTTTATAACAACCAAGTTCCTGAATATCTGATTGACATAATCCCAAATTTGCGTTGTAATTAATCACATTACAGTACGAGAAATTCACATGACTATAACATAACCACATGCAGATTATACAAACCTATAGGTCAACTTTCATTCCCATTGTTATTGACGAATGTAATTCATTACCCCATGTAGAAAGAAATTCGTCCTCATTAACAATTAAAAAAAAATTATTCTTAATTCTTTTACTTCTGTTGCGGAATTCGACGCTTAAATATATTACATACAAGGCTTCGACACAACTTTTATCGATGTTAATGTAATTTTAAGCCCCCTTTGTTATTGTGGAGAATACTCACCATTATTCCTTCTCATGCAAAAAAAAA